AAGGATAAGGCAGCGATCTTGAAGGAGAAGAGGAAGGCAGTCGATGAGTCCAGGCTCGGGGGAAAAGGTCAGCCCTCGAAAGACAAGGACAAGGGCACCAAGAACTAGGGGGTCGAGCTCGACCCCTTGGGGCACCCCCGCGGGTGCTTTTGTCGCTCGTCGATCTCTGACGATGTCCGACAACCGTGCTGCTCCTCGTGAGCTTCTACCTCTTCCTATACCGCCTTCATGGTCTTCGCCGTCCTGGCCGAGGCATCGCTGCAGGAGGCTGCAGCAGCGCTTCGACCGCAGGAAGGCAGTTCTGAGCCGCGCCGTCGACTCCGTCAAGGCGCTTAATTGGTTGCATGGTGGGCGCCGGCCTCCAAGTTTTTCGAGTCCGACCCTGTCGCAGGCTACGGCTCTTCAGCACCTTCTGGACGTCCATCGGACTGACGTCCCGGAGATCGTTAATGCCGAGGCAGCCCGCGTGGAGTTGCTCGGCGCAGGACAGGACTACGCTGGTGGTCCTGAACTTCCCATCGCGAGTTACGACAAGGATCTGCTCTCCATGCCCCAGCTTGGGGCGGAGCCCGTCGACCTGTCCACGGTGCTGGAGGGCAGGGCCAGAGAATGTCTCGTTAACTTCGAAGAGGAGATCTTGCACGGTCCCGACGATTGGGGCCATATTACTGAGTGTGAGGAGCATGTTAGACCGTATATGGATCCAGTGCTTAAGTCCGACGCTGACGCTTACTTCGACTTCGTGATGAGGGGTCACAGGTCGGGTTTGTTTCGCTTCGGCCGCACGTCCCATGTTATCGTCACCCCCTTCTTTGCGAGGAAGAAGGCTGGCACTTTGAGATTGATACTTGAGTGCCGTCCGAGTAATCGCAGGATGCGTGAGAGCCCCTACGTTCGGCTGGGGGGGCCGGCTGACGTTGCTCGGCTACTGCACTCGCGCGGCGACGGGGGCCCGTACGTGGCCCTCGGCGACGTGAAGGATTATTTTCATTGCTGCGGGCTTCCACCAGGCCTTAGTCCATATTTTTCCCTGCCGCGCGTGTCAGGTCTGCGACTTCTTCAGGCTGGTATTCACAATGTCGAAGGTCTCCCTGTTCTCCCAGGTGACAGCATCTTTCCACAGTCCAGGGTCGCTCCCATGGGGTGGTCTTGGGCCTGTTACTTTGCGCAGTCTGCTACAACGTCCCTGGTGCATCGTTTCTCGGGCTCCGAGGGTGACAGCTTCCTGGAATCCTGTGAGCCTCCTCCTGGTCTCGATCGGCCCGCTTACAACGTCTACATAGACAACATTAGCATCTTCGGCCAAGGTAAGTCACAGACCGATAGGATCGCCAACCAGGTTTTCGACGGGGTCGAGAGTGTGGGCTTTAGGGTTCACGAGCGCACGTCTGCCAGCAAGTGGGCTCTTACGCTCGGCCTTGAGATCGACTTCCTGTATAGCACGGTCCAAGGAAAAAGGCAAAAGAGGTGGAAGTTGAAGGCAGTTTTGGATTGGTTGGCAGGTGCTCCGTATGTGTCGGGTAAGGAGATTGAGAGACTCCTGGGCCATACCACCTTCCACTTCGGTCCTAATCGGCTATTCTTGTCCATCTTTAACAATGCCTATGACTTCATTCGTTCGAGTTACACCTCTCGAGTGCGTCTCTCGCCCTCGGTGGCTAGGGAGTGCTGGGCCGCTGGGTGTCTTATCTCGTTCGCGTTCGCCGATCTGGGAAGGGACTTCGACCCGCACGTGAGCTGTTTCGACGCTAGTACGTGTGGGGCAGGGGTCGTCACGGCGCCTTGGGACTCGGCTCAGGTTCGTTCAGAATGCGAATGGGAGGAGAGATGGCGTTTCAAGTGGGATGTGTATGATCGAGTTGCGCCCAGGGACAACAACTTCTTATCGCTGGACTGGGGGGGCATCGACAGCGTCAAGCCTTGTCGTGACAGGTCGTCGCTCTGGTCGCTGGACAAGTCGTTCAGAGAGGTCCCGAAAGAGAACCTCGTGGGCCCGACGTGGACCAAGGTCGTTCGGAGTTTTTTGAAGGACGAGGAGCCGATATTCTGTCTGGAGGCTCGCGCGGGTCTGCTGGCGGTGCGTCATAAGTTACGGGCGGTCTCCAGTTTCGGTAAGACTCATCTACACCTTGGGGACTCCATGACCGCCATCCTGGCTTTCGAGAAGGGTCGGGCTAAACATCGAGGTCTTCTGGGTGCTTGCCGTCGCCTTTTGGCTCTGAGCGTGGCCTCCAACACCAGGCACCATTTCAGGTGGGTGCCGTCGGAGCTGAACCCGAGTGATCCTGATTCACGCTACTTCGAGCTTCCAGTTGACAGCGATGGCCGACGGTTGCTTCGTCGCTCCACGTCTCGGGCCTGGACGGTACAGGCTGATGGCAAGGGGAGCTGGCGGGCCGTCGATCCAGGCGACAGTGCCTTCGCCGACGGCGGGCGTGGTCATCATGGGCCGCCTGGTGCCGTCGGCGGGCCCGACTGCCCTGACTGGGCCGCGCCCTCGGCGCCGCCCAGTGGCTGGCGCGCCGCTCCCTCGACCTCGCCGAGAGGCGGACCCGCTGGACACGGTGCTGGCCGAGAAGACACGTCGGTCGGCTCGACGCCTGGTGTTCAAGCGTCAGAGGGCGTTGAAGCGGGTTCGTGCCATAGGGGGCGTGGTTCCAGCCCTGAGGGCTCTGAAGGGCGAGCGCACAGTGCTGGAGAGCTCTCACCCGTCGACTCCCGTCAGGAGGGACTACTGTCGGCGGCTCGACAAGTTCTGGGAGTTCGGGCGAAGCCAAGGTCTCTCCTTGGCCAACCTGAAAGTTTGCGACGACGCGCTGTGCGACTTTGCCGACCTGCAGTTCCTGGACGGCGAACAGGTCGACGCGGGGGCCAAGCTCCTGGCCGCCCTGGAGGACCACGACGTGCAGCGGTTCGGCAAGCCCAGCCTTCCTCGGTTTCGACGAGTTCTTCGAGCTTGGCATCGGAAGGGGCCTGTGGGCAGCAGGGGCCCTCTACCGTTCCGCCTCTTGGCGGGCATCTTGGGCGTCCTGTCGCTCCACGGCTTTCACGAGGAGGTGCTGGCGCTGGCCCTCATGTTCTGCTGCTACCTGCGCCCGTCCGAGCTCCTGACGGTGGTCGAAGGCGACCTCCTCGGCCCGGTGGCCAACGCGGGCGCGGCCCTCGCGTGCTGGAGTCTGCTCCTGCGGCCGTTCGAGAGGGAGGAGCCGACCAAGGTCGGCCAGTTCGACGACACGCTCCCGCTCGACAGCCCCGACTTCCCCGGCTTAGGGGCCCTCCTTGCTGGCTTGCGCGGAGGGGGCGCGGATGTCTGGCTCTTCAGTTTCAGCCAGACACAGCTGCTGCGCCGCTTTCAGGCGGCTTGTCGTGCGGCGGGCCTGGGCTCGCTGAACCTCGAAATGTACCAGCTGCGCCACGGAGGGGCGTCGAGGGATTTCCTGATGAAGACGAGGGAGATTCAGGCGGTCAAGCAGCGAGGACGCCGGGCGAACGATCGCACCTTGCTCCGCTACATGAAGGCGGGCAGGGTGCAGAGGCTTCACAAGGTTCTGACGCCCGAGGCCAGCCGCTGGTGCCAGGAGGTGGAGGCCAACCTCTCGCTCGTCCTTCGCGGCGCGTGGCAGCCGCCCCTTCGGCCGCCAGGGGCCTGCCGCGGTCTCTCGGCGGCGGGTTTGTGATCGAGGTCTTCTCGGGCAGCGGGCGGCTGGCCAAATCCTTCGCGGAGCTTGGCATCCCAGCGCTGACCTGGGACATCGAGCACGGCCCCGCTGGCGACCTGCTGGGCAACGACGTGCTGCGCTGTGTGCTGTCGCACATCGCCTCGGGTAGGTGTCTTTTCCTCTGGTTGGGCACGCCGTGCACTTCTTTTTCTCGGGCCCGAAAAACGACGGTCGCGGCCCTGGGCCTCTTCGGGATCCCTGGCACCTGGAGGGCCGGCCTGGGCGTCCTCCCTCCGACCTCGCTAAGGTCGAGAACGGGAACCGTCTCTTAGGGGTCTCACTGGTGCTAATGCGATGTGCAGCAGCTCACGGCGTCCCAGCGGTGTTGAAAAACCTAGCACGAGTTTTTTTATGGGACATGCCTCAAATGCTAGATTTTCGATTATCTCATGACACTACATTCACGGTGCTTCTCTTCTGTCAGTATGGAGAGCTTTGGGTTAAGCCCACTCGTCTGCTCCTCCTGTCTTGCTCTCACCTTTCGGCCGTGGGAAAAACGTGCACTGGCCGCGGTGTGTGTTCCAGGACTGGAAAGCCCCACGTCGAGCTTCGGGGCAAAGACCCGACAGGAACCTTCTGGACCCTCCGCGCTCAGCCTTATCCTCGCCAGCTTACTCGGGCCATTGCTTCACTGATGATATCTCACCTCATCAGTGCCGGAGGCTCTCCCTTTTAAGCCTTCGGCCAGAACGCTACTCTGGTGCGGGTGTGGGTGCTCTTTTGTGGCTCTTGGTGGTTGGTTGCCCCTCCGTTGCCCTTGCCTGGTGGACGTTGGCGGGATGACTTCGGGTCCCCGTCTACGCTCGCTGGGCCAGGGTAGCGGCTGGGCTACCAGCCTCCTGCCACTGCAAGATCTGTGCCTCTGGCGGTGATTTGATTTACAGTCTTCGAGCCTCGGTGAGATGCTCTCTCTGGCGCGTGAGCAGAATGTGAATATGGATGTTCCTTAGCTTGCGGGATAATCCATCTATGTTTGGCGGGGGCGCCGTGGTCTGCACAGTCATCAGATGAATTGAAACTCAGTTGATTATGTGTCCGTGGTCCGTCTTTTTTGCTCCCCACCCTCCTGCCACCCTTCTTGGGGGTGCTCTTTTGTGGCTCTTGGTGGTTGGTTGCCCCTCCGTTGCCCTTGCCTATTGGACGTTGGCGGGGTGACTTCGGGTCCCCGTCCACGCTCGCTGGGCCAGGGTAGCGGCTGGGCTACCAGCCTCCTGCCACTGCAAGATCTGTGCCTCTGGCGGTGATTTGATTTACAGTCTTCGAGCCTCGGTGAGATGCTCTCTCTGGCGCGTGAGCAGAACGTGAATATGGATATATATATAAACATATATATATATATATATATATATATATATATATATATATATATATATTATATAATATACGATACACACACCTACGGCGGCGACGACTACTACTACTACTACTACGACCATTGGTGCGACTACTATTGTTTCCTACTACTCAGTTTATTTTTACTGTTATCACGACTGCTACTGGTACTGCTACTGCTACTACTACTACTACTACTACCACTACTACTACCACTACCACTACTACTACTACTACTACTACTAGTACTACTACTACTACTACTACTAGTACCTCTACGAGTAATATTATTAATTTTTTATCATTACTATTAGTACTATTACTACGACTACGACTGTTATTACTACTACTACTGCTATTACCGCCGCTAACTTACCACTGCCTACTACTACTACTACTACTACTGCTGCTACTACTACTACTACTACTATTATTACTACTACTACTACTACTACGACTACTACTACTACTACTACTACTACTACTACTACTACTACTACTACTACTACTACTAACTACTAACTACTAACTACTACTACTACTACTACTACTACTACTACTACTACTACTACTACTACTACTACTACTACTACTACTACTACTACTACTACTACTACTACTACTACTACTACTAACTACTACTACTACTACTACTACTACTACTAGCTGCTGCTGCGACTACTACTAATACGACTACGTTGTCTACTAGAACTACTATTCCTACTACTACTACTGCTACTACTACTACTACTACTACTGCTACTACTACTACTGCTACTACTACTACTGTTACTACTGTTACTACTACTACTACTACTACTACTACTACTACTACTACTACTACTACTCACTAGCATTACTACGACTACTTCTCCACTACTACTCTTTACTACGGCTGCTGCTGCTGCAACCTCAACTCCAACGTCAACTCCCACTCCGACTCCTACTCCTTACTACTCTTACTACTACTCCCTACTCCTACTCTTACCCCTCCCCAGGAGAAGCACGACCAGTGTTTTGACTCCCCCCCCAGTCTACCCAACCAGAAAATGGGTGTGCGTTCTTTTTCGGAGGGGGGGGGGGGGGGGGGGGGCAACCTCCTGCTCCTGCTCCTCCCGTTGCCCTCCCCTTTACCACACCTCCCTCATCCCCTTTCTCCTCTTCGTCGCCCCCCTCCTCCTACTCCTCCTCTCTGCTAAGGGTTCACTATCAAGGATTTCTTGTTATGTTGCAGAGCTTACCCTTGACTTCCCCATCCCCACTCTTCGAAAAGGAGACACACAACGTGATCAGGTTTTTGTTGTGGCGGGGGGGACTTCCTCCTCCTCCTCCTCCTCCTCCTCCTCCTCCCGTCCCCTCCCCCTCCCGCCCCTCCCCCCTCCTGCCCCTCCTTCTGCTCCTCCTTCTCCTCCTTTTCCCTCTCCTCCTCATCCTCTTGCCTCCCCTCCTCCTCCTCCTGCTCCTCCTCGTCCTCTTCTTTCTCCCTGGTAAGGATTCCCACCACAGATTTTTTGTTAGGATGCAGAGCTCTCCATGGGGTTACCAATGCTTAGCACGGCCTACCAGGGCTCAGCAAAGCATATGAAGGATTTACCAGGGTTCTGCAAAGCTTACGCAACCAGCACCGTTCTTCATGCCTGAACAACGCCAAACAAGAAGGAAGATAAGCTGGAAGAGGAGTACGAGTTGGAGGAGGAGGAGGAGGAAGAAGAGGAGAAATAGGAAGAGGAAGAGGAGGAGTGCGAGCAGAAGGGCCAGATGCTTCTTGGATGCCTCCCGGAGTACCTTCGGATTTCGTTCGACAGTTTCTTGGAGTTCTCTTGGGGCGTCTTGGGGGTCTCTTGGCAGTCCATGAGGCCTCTTGGGGCGTCTTGGGTGCCTTTGGGGGGTCTCTTGGAGCCTCTTTGGGGTCTCTTGGGAGCTTCTTGGGGGCATCTTGGGGGCATTGTGGGGGCCTCTTCGGCCTCCAGGGCACCTCTTGGGGCCCTCTTGGGGCACCCTTGGAAGCCTCTGGGGCCATCTTGGGACCATCTTGGGAGAAATCGATCAAAGGAGGGGGGCTCCTTATAAGGGTTCCCCCCCTCAGGAGGCCAACACGTTGCCAAAACCGGAGTACAGCCGATGCTTTTGACTTTCTCGTCGAGGCCTCTTGGGGCGTCTTGGGTGCCTCAGGTGGGCTTCTTGGGGGTATCTTGGGGGCCTCTTGGGGGCCTCTTGGGGGACTCTTGGGGCCTCCTGGGCACCTCTTGGGGCCCTCTTGAGGCACCCTTGGGGGCCTCGGGGCCAATCTTGGGGCCATCTTGGAGGAGATCGATCAAAGGAGGGGGGCTACTTAGTCAGCCCCCACCCCCCAGGAGGCCCACATGTGGCCAAATCTTGAGTACAATGAGTGATGTTGGCCTTCTCGCCGAGGCCTCTTGGGGCGTCTTGGGTGCCTGCCTCTTGGGGGTCTCTTGGGAGCCTCTTGGGGGCATGCATCTTGGGGGCCTCTTGGGGGCTGTTCGTGCCTGCTGGGAACTTCTTGGGGCCATCTTGGGGCACTCTTGGAAGCCTTGGGGGCCATCTTCGGGCCGCTTGGAGTAGATCGATCAAACGAGGGGAGCTCCCCAATTCGCTCCCCCCCCCTCCAGGAGGCCAACATGTGGCCCAAATCTCGGTAAAACCACTGCTTCGGGTATTCTCGCCGGGGCCGTTTTCTTTTGTTGGACGCCCCAGCCTCTCGCGACCTCCCCCTCCAGGTCTGGGGGGAGGTGTAGGGGGAGGGGGTGAGCTCCCCAAAGGGGACGAAGGGGGATTGGAAGAGGAAGCTCGGCAAACCACTCACGCCCCAAAGGGCCAGTGGGATTGTGCGCGGTCGTTCGCACCGAGTCGGCCACGTTGCCGGACGGCCCGCGGTAGCACTTACGAGCCATATTTCGCGACATAAGTTTGCCTTTCGTCCTCTTCTTGTCTCCCTTTTTTTTCCCTTACTCCCCGCCCCCCAACCCACCTCGTCAGCGACTTCGTCTGACCTGGGCGGAATGGGCGAGAACGGTCTGGCGATGGGACTGCTTACCGACTCCGTTGTTTCGATTTCGCGTGGCGTTGTCTTCACGTCGTCATAGTTGTGGTCTTTGCGCAGGAGGGGGAAAAAACAGTCGTTCACCCTAAAGATCGAATAATAGCCTGCCAGCCAAATCCGTCGCGACCAGATCAAGGTCAAGTCTCATTCCCCAGACCTGTTCCGGAGTGCGTTCCGCTCAGAATTTCGGGGCCGATCGAGCCGTGGCACTTCTCGAGCCTCGGAGTTCCTTCCCTCCCTCCTCGCCCTCCTCACTACACGCACCTGTGGGGGGGCGGGCGGGGAGGCCAACCAGGTCTCGGAGGTTGATAGACCTCCTACCCTGACACGTCGATTAAGGAATCGGCCGTTCTCGGTTCTCGAGGGGCCGTCGCGGCCGTCATTTTTGCGGGTCTGGGTCCGTCGGTTTCGGTCCCGGGCCGCTTTCACTAAAGGGAGGTTTGCTACAGGGAGGTTTGTCCACCGCCGACCCTGGCTGCCGCGAGGCCTCCCCAGGCCGCGACGGCGGCGCTGATTCGCCCGCCAGTCTTAGGTCGGGCGTGTCCCTCTACAGGGGGAATCTTCAAACATAGGAAAAAAGTGCAATCTTCAACTTTGTCCACCGCCGAAGGTCAGCTGCAACGGTACGTGGACCTCCGCGAAGCTCACGGTCAGCCTCGAGGACCATGCCTCGCTCGCGCCCGCGGAGTGCGCCGCGCCGCGGGGCCTGGCGCGCGCGCCGGGCGAGGGCGGGCCCGGGGCCGTCGTCGCCGACGCGCCCAGCACAGGCTCGGCACGGAGCGCCAAGACTTCGGGGCGGCACGACCTCGCACGACGGGGATTTTCGACGAAAAGTAAAAATACCAGCAACATAGTCAGAAAGGTCAAAACATATTGCAAACATAGTCCCCAGACTATTTTTGGACTATTTGTGATTACTTTTGGGGTATTTTTTTATTTTTCGTCGAAAATCCCCCTGTAGGGGGACATGCCCGACTTAACACTACTCGCAAAGTGCCTACTCTCGGGGGTTGATAGACCTCCTACCCTGACACGTCGATTAGGGAATCGGCCGTTTTTGGTTCGCGAGAGGGCGTCGCCGCAGTCGTTCTTGCGGGTCCAGGTCCGTCGGCTTCGGTCCCAGGCCGTTTCACTACAGGGTGGTTTACTAAAGGGAGGTTTGTTCACCGCGGATGCTCGCAAACGTCAGACAAACACATGTGTGCCTCGATGGAGTGTGTCGCAGATCCCCCCGCGGCGGATCCAGGCCACCTGTGCGTAGTTACTCTTTGCGAGTCGTGGAACGCGCTCGTCTACATCAGGCGGTTTTTTCCTCGATGTCGGCTTCTGGGCGGCACGACCGAGAGGGGTACGGACAGGAGTGGGTACGAAGACGGGCAGCAGTTCCTGCGCATCTTGGACAGGACTCGCTGTCGGTGTCGCCGCGGACGTTGTCCATGTTGGACAGAAGGCCGCCTGTCCGACAGCCGTCACTGTCGATTTTGGACGACACTTGTTGTTGGGCATCGTGCCCGTTTTTGTCCGTACCCTTAAGTCGGGCCTGTCCCTCTACAGGGGGAATCTTCCAAAAATGCAAAAAATAGTCAGGGGGCTATCTTTGGAGTATTTGGTCGACCATTTTGCAGTAATTTTTTAGTACTTTCTTTTATTTTTCGCGCAGAATCCCCTTGTGGGGGGACGCGCCCGACTTGAGCGCACCCATTCCGTGCGTCCAAGCCTGGGGCCCGTCCTCGGGCTGCGGGGCCACCAGGCGTGGACCTGGGGCGGAACAAAAACTGGCCTCGCAGAAGGGGTCGGGGCCTCTGGCGCCGCGGGCGGAGCAGTCGGATCGGCGGGCGTCAGGGACTGATGGGGGAAGGAGGAGGAGGAGGAGGAGGAGGAGGAGGAGGAGGAGGAGGAGGAAGAGGAGGAGGAAGAGGAGGAGGAGGAGGAGCAGGAGGAGGAGGAGGAGGAGGAGGAGGAGGAGGAGGAGCAGGAGAAGGAGGAGCAGAAGGAGGAGGAGGAGGCTTGTGGGCTTGTGGGCGTTCTGGGGTCCTTTTTTGAGCATCGGGGGGGTGGGGGGGAGGGCTTCTCGTCGCCACGGCCGAGTTCGGCTGGACTCCCTTGGGAGTTCTGGCGCCGAAGCCCACCCGGGGTGATGTCCAACGTCCAGGGGCGTATCCTTTTTGGTTGCCACTAGGAATGGAAGTTCTGGAGGCTTCTCTATGCTTTCGTGCTCCAGGGGCCCTGCCCAGGCCCTGTGGCCGCCAAGAACGACTCAGGATGACAACCCGGTCCGTGGGGAAGGCCCCAGGGACCAGGTCGACTGCAGGTGAGAGTGACCCTTCGCCAGAGTGACCTTTGGTGCGGGCCCACACTGGCGTCCCCCCGATCGGCGAGAAATGCGCGACAGCAGTGGCTTGCGCGCTTGGGTCTGGACCCCCCGCGCGCCCCCCCTGAAACCGCGCACCAAAGATCGCTCTTGCCTTCGGACGCTCTTGTTCGGAAACTGGAACATATACACTAACAGTGGCGGGTTTCAATCCCAGGACTTTTTCGAGGGTGGTGTGGTGCGTTTCCAAGGGAAACAACGAAAAATGTATACACCAGGATCCCGCACACACCAGGATCCGCGTCCCTGCGCGAATTTCAGCGCAGGGTCGGAAAAAGCGTCGGTGTATAGAGCTCGTTTCCCTGCTTGTGTGTAGCCGACCAGGACCAGTTTCCCCCTCCCGTTTTCCTTCCTGCCAGCAGAGCAGGCGAGCCCCACTTGAGTATTTTTCCACCATTTTGGAGAATTTTTGCAGTATTTTTCTATTTCGTCGAACACCCCCCTGTAGGGGGACACGCCCGACTTGAGCCTAGTGGCACTCTTGTATGTAGCAAACCAGGGCCAGTTTCCCCCCCCAGTTTCCTTCCTGCCGGCAGAGCAGGCGAGTCTGACGACTTCTGGCTGCACCCGTGCGACTGCGTGCCGCCTGGGTGGGGCGGGGCCCCGCCCGTGGGCGCCACGGCGTACGACAGCATCCCGCCAGAAAGCGGCAACATTTTCATCCCCCCGCCCACTTTGATCGTCGAGGGTCAGTTCATGTGCGACAGGCAGCATGTCCTCGCCATGCACGACCTGTCCGAGGACGAGGCCTCCACCCAGGCCAGGTGCGAGACGCTCTGCAAGGACGACCCTGCCTGCAGGTTCTACTGGACCGGGCTGCGGCGGGAGTCCCTGTCGTGCCACCTGTACTCGGGCTGCGACGCGCTGGTGCGGGAGTCCTCGTCCACGGGCAAGCTTGTGGCTGTCCCCAAGCAGGACATGTGCCACATTGCAGATCCTGATGCGTGCTGGGCCACAACTCTGCGGCGGGAGTTCCTGACAAATCTGGAGGCGGAGACATGCGGCTCTCACTCATGCCCGCGAGGCCAGATGCTTAAGGAGGGCTACGAGCGCATCGCGTGCGGCTTCCCTGGCGATGCGGAGTCCAAGACCTGCAGCGATGCCGAATGCTGTATGGACGTGCACCGGGTCGTCAAGATGGCAGATGGCAATGAGCAGTGCGTGTCTGCGGATTTGGCAGATGCCGAGACGCACGCTGCTATGTGCTGCAGTGACTCGCCAGGGCCAGGAATGAAGCTTTTGTCGGATGCGCACTGCGCAAAGCACGTGGCGACTTCGTGCGGCGCTGCCTCGAGCTACTTCCAGGCGGAGGCGTACTGCAGACAGAGAGGAGCCAGGCTGTGCTCCGCCGCAGAGGCCAGGAATTGCTCTGGGCTTGCCTGCGAGGAAAGGTCTGTGTGGACGAGCCAGACGTGCCCTGTGCAGGACCAGGGCTGCAACGACTAAGTAGACTAACGCCACATCCACCGGCCCCTTCCTTAATCGCGCCCTTTCAGGCCGTGTTGCGCGACGTTTTGTGGTGGGATCTCGCGCGCTCTTCCCCTTGCCCTTCTTGGGGGTTTCTTCTGTGTTCGGCAACTTGGGGTTGGCCACTGTGGGCGCTGACTGGGGCCAAGCCAAATTGATGGGGGAGAGGAGACACTAATGCCAAGGGGAAGGAGGAACGGATGGGGAATGATGAAGAGGAGGATCATCATTGTATGGGGATACGCAGACATATTTTTTTGATCTGCGGGTCGAGAGCGCACCTCTTCCGGTCGAAGCTAAGCGGGCCGCGCACAGCTGTAATTGACGATAGGCAGACATACACACATACGTATGTATGTATATAGACAGGCAGACGGGGATACATAAAGGGATATATATATATATCCGTAAGGGCTTCGCCCCCTGCCGCCGGCCCCCTCTCTCGGAGAATGGGCCATGGAAGAGCTAAGTCATGAGGCTTTGGCGCTGTCGTGCAGCAGTATCGGAACTTCATGCGAGGCCGATTCGCAATCGGCAAAACCAACTGATCACAAGAGGGGTTACCACAGGGCGATTGGTAAGACGTGTATGGTTTACGAGCTTGGTTACCTCACCTTGGGATTAAAGCGCCGAGGGAGTACTCGCAGTTTGGGTTACCACGCCTTGCGATGGATGTGCGTGAGGGGTGGCACCGAATTTCAGAAATGGACCCTGACCCCGCGGATCTGCGTGGGGGTGGCACCGAATTTCAGAAATGTGGCAAATCCCTTGTGTTTTTGGACCCTGACCCCGCGGATCTGCGTGAGGGGTGGCACCGAATTTCAGAAATGTGGCAAATCCCTTGTGTTTTTGGACCCTGACCCCGCGGATCTGCGTGAGGGGTGGCACCGAATTTCAGAAATGTGGCAAATCCCTTGTGTTTTTGGACCCTGACCCCGCGGATCTGCGTGAGGGGTGGCACCGAATTTCAGAAATGTGGCAAATCCCATGTGTTTTTGGACCCTGACCCCGCGGATCTGCGTGAGGGGTGGCACCGAATTTCAGAAATGTGGCAAATCCCCTGTGTTTTTGGACCCTGACCCCGCGGATCTGCGTGAGGGGTGGCACCGAATTTCAGAAATGTGGCAAATCCCTTGTGTTTTTGGACCCTGACCCCGCGGATCTGCGTGAGGGGTGGCACCGAATTTCAGAAATGTGGCAAATCCCTTGTGTTTTTGGACCCTGACCCGCGGATCTGCGTGAGGGGTGGCACCGAATTTCAGAAATGTAGCAAATCCCGTGTGTTTTTGGACCCTGACCCCGCGGATCTGCGTGAGGGGTGTCGATTTCGAGCCCCCCCAGCAATTCAGACAACGTGCCCAGGGGGTGCTAAAAAGTCCTGTTTGGGCCTCCCCCCCCCTCGCGCGGTCAATCAACTAGTTACAGTAACCAGCAAGAAGCAGAACTGTAACACTGGAAACTACAAGCTACAACTGGTACAGGAAACTGCGAATCACGGTCCTACAGCCTGGTGGCCCCACAAGGGGGCCGGCGGATATAGATATAGAGAGACAGACAGACAGACAGAGGAGAAAGAGAGAGAGAGAAGAGACAGGAGAGGATAGAGAGAGAGCGAGAGACAGAGAGAGAGAGAGAAGATCAAGAGAGAGAGAGAGAGAGAGCGCGAGAGAGAGGAGAGAGAATAGCGAGAGAGAGAGAGAAAGAGAGAGAGAGGGAGAGAGAACCAGAGAAAGAGAGCGCAACAGGTCGGACGACAGTTCGTCCGGGCTTTGCTGCCACTTTGACCTCCCTCGCATTGGCGGGAGGCGCCGCGCAGTGTGCAGGGATGGCGGAACCCTGCCCCTAAGCGCGGTCTATAGAAGCCCCTGGATGGAGAACAAACGTCGGGCCTGCGGCGATCCGATCCGGGAGCGAGACCCACCCCGTTTGCACACCCGAGCAGAAAGGGCGCAGGCTCCAACGAGCGTGCGTTGGCGTGCGCGCTTCGTCGGTACCTCAGTGCACCAGGCGCCGCCTGGGAGTATTCTTAGGGGAACCACAGATGACATAAACATTAACTCTCGGATTTATCGGATCCGCGCTGGACCCCCCTGGCGACGAAACCGGCGCCGCCCCTGGCGCGCTCCGCGCGCCAGGGAGGGGGGTCCAAGACGGATCCGAGACATCCGCGCGGACCTCCGAGTTTTTATGTTTACGTCCTTCTCGGTTCCCCTAGTCCCCCCCCGGCGGCGACCTTGGTCATTCTCGGCGGCGGAGGAGGAGGAGGAGGAGGAGGAGGAGCAGGAGGAGGAGGATTGTGGAGCTGGCGCCTGTGGTGTGCTGGCGGCGAGTCTCGGGGCACACACCCGGAGGCTCCTGCCCGGGGAGGGGGGCCGCGGTGAGCAGGCCACCGGAGGGCCCGAGGAAGGCCGTTCCAGGCGGGCTGTGCTCGTTGGAGTCTGTCAGGGCGCGGTCCTGGCTGCTCCTGGCTGCTCCTGGATTCAAACGATGCGTGGGTCCCAGAGGTCTGGACCACTTCCACGAGGCCAGTTTTTCGTCCAGAGTCGTTTCTGTTGACGGTCCCGAGACCTGGCGAGGGCCCCCGGAGGCCGAACGCGGCCGAAAACGGGCCACTCCAAGTTTTCCGATGCGTGGGCCCAGGAGGCCTAGACCACTTACATGGGGCCAGTTTTTTAAAACGACGCGAAGATCGGGACAAAATCGGATCGGGATAGCTCGAAGTCTCTGAGAATCGGCGGGGCTGGAGGATGTATTGGGCGCCGCGGCCGCTCCAGAGCGTTCCGGAACGCTCTGAGAGCGCTCCGGAATGCTCTGGAGCGATTTATCCCGATCCTAGCCCTGTTTTATGGGTCCTGCGCAGGACACGCGCAAGGCCGGCAGCACACTGCTGCAGCGTCGGGGTGTACCCTCCATCTTCGTCTGGGCCCTCGGCGGGATCACCGGGCGTGCCGTGATCGTTGCCGGGGTCTCGAACGGGGTCGTCGCTTGCCTGGTCATGCGCGACGGCTGTGCAGTCTGGACTGGTGTCCGTCTGCGCGGATGGCGCAACGGCATCGGTCCACGAGGTCGGCGGGTCTGGTTCATCCTTGACGGTGTCCCTGGTGCGGTCGGCCCGCATGGCGGCACGTAATGCGTCCATCATTATGGTCATGGTGCGCCACTCGACTGGTCCACCCTGGTGTGCCTCGGGGCTGCTTCCGTGGCGAGCCCTCAGGCCGTCGTCATTGGCGTTGGCCTTCCGTCGCTTTTTGAATTTGGTGGTGAGGGCAGTCTCGCGATCGAGGTCAGCAGGTTGATTGTCAACCGTGGGGCGTTGCGTGAAGGCGCGTCTCCGATCGGTGACTTGCGGTGGAGTCGCACGGGTGCCTACACCCCGGTGAGTGGCGCATGGGTCGCAAGCCCCCGTTCTCTTGCGGAACGGGGCAACAGCCCGAAGGCAGGGTGTGCTGTGCTTTGAGTAGCAGCAGGGCTGGTGGTCGAACGCGTCTCGCGGAAGCAAGGGTGCTTTTCAGATCCACCAGCCTGGTCAGGACGGAGCCACCACCGTCAATGGCGAAAGGCATTGGAGCATTGGAACAGCGGGACAGACGTTCCTGTATGTCGCAGAGGTGAGCATTTCCTGAAGCTGGCTGTGCGGCAGCAGTGCCCAGCCCATCGAGCTGTGGCGACGGTGCTGGCCCACCCAGGGACCCAGCCTTCGCCTCCTCGCCTGCCGCCCGCGCAGGTCCTCTTTCAGGCCTTTGGCGCTGGGTGCGCAGCTGGCGTCAGGCGCGTGGCCACTGGCAGCGGGGGGCCTCCTCCTCCTCCTTCTCCTCCTCCTCCTCCTGCTGCTCCTCCTCCTCCTCCTCCTCCTCCTCCTCCTCCTCCTCCTCCTCCTCCTCCTCCTCCTCCTCCTCCTCCTCCCCTCCCCTCCCCTCCCCTCCCCTCCCCCCCTCCCCCCTCCCCTCCCTCCCCTCCCCCTCCCCCTCCCCCCCTCCCCTCCTCCCCTCCCCCTCCCCTCCCCTCCCCTCCCCTCCCTCCCCTCCCTCCCTCGGTGGGGGCTGAGCCACATTCCGTGTGGTCGAGCCCCCATGTAACAGTTGAGTGGCGTGCGTGGCAGGCGGCCCGGCGCCTGGCGCGGGGTCCTGCCCCCCCCCTGCCTCCTGAGGCATCGTCGCCTTTTGCTTTCTCGGGCGGTGAGTGCTTCTGGGGGCCCTCGGCTTGCGTTTCCTGGGGGAACGGGGCGTGGTCCTGGTGTGCGGAGCTGCTCTGCTGAGGTGCTGGGTGCGCGTCGGCGCCTGCCAGCCGTGCGGATCGGGGCGCCGGGGCTGGGCCGCGAGGGTCTTGCGCATCGGCGTCGTCGCAGCGAGTGGACGTCGTGGTGGACACCGTGGTTCGAAGCGTGGTGCGCGAGTGCGTCGCTGTGTGCGCCGCGATGCCGCCCCTGCGTCGCGTGGGTCGCACTGCAGTGCTGGCCCCGCCTCCGCTCCTCCTTCAAGCCCCGAGGGGCCGCTGCGAGGGGCCCAGCTGTCCCGCAGGGCCTGACAAAAATATCGGTGTTTGCGTGCCAGAACGTTTTCCTTTGCGGAGCTGGGCGCCCTGGCGTGGACGGCCGAACGACCCCTGCAGCGGGACACCCTGGCAACGCGGTTGCCGCCGCAAAAACTGTCGGTTTAACGCTGGCGCCGCGCACGGGGCCGCAAGGTCGCGGACATCGCCGGTGGGGGGGGGTTGAGCCAAGGGGTCGCGGTGTCCGGGGAGGCCCCGCCCCCTCTCGTCCCGACAAGGGTTCCGCGGGAGGCGCCGAGCGGCTGGCGACCTCGCAGCGATCGCTTGGGCGAGCCTGGGAAACCTGCACGGCGTGGCGTGGCCAGAACCGCCAGGGAAGCACGGGCTGCGTCGTGCTGCTCGTGACTGCGGTGCTGCTCCCAGGCGCATTGCTGGGAGACGCGGTATTCGGCAGCGCTTCTCGCGCTGCTCGTTTCGCTCACAGGTGCGAGGCTGCCGTTGCTGGGTCCCGCCGTGCTGCGCGGACTGCTCGACCTCGTCGCGCCGGTCAGTGTCTTGGTCCTGGACGTGCTGCTCGAAGACGTGGTGCTCGTAGCACTGTTCGTCTCTCGCAGATGTGAGGTGAGGGAGCTGGGGCTGGAAACCGTCGCGCAGTCCGGCGCTGGCGCTCCACTCCATCGCGCTGCGCAGCGTCGCCGTGCTGGGCAGCGCGGCGTGCTGCTCAAAGACGTGGTTCTTCTATTGCACTTCTCGTCTCGCTCGTGGCCGTGGGGCTGCCAGTGCTGGGCCCCGTCGCGCTGCTCAACGTCTGTGTGTTCGCGTCGCCGATGCTGGGCAGTGTCGAGGTGCGGGTCCCAGGCGTGCCGCTCGCTGGCGTGGTGCTCACTGCGCTCCTCGCCCTGCTCGCAGAGGTGCGGCTGCCGGTGCTGGGCCCCGGCGTGGTGCGCGACATCGGAGTGCTGGATCCATTTGTGCTGCCGAGTCTTTGGGTGCCATTCCACGACTTGCTGCTCGAGGATCTCCTCCTCCTCCTCCTCCTCCGCCTCCCCATCGTCCTCATGCGCTGCTCGTCTCACTCGTGAGTGTGAGGATGTTGGTGCTGGATCCCGACGTGCTGTTCGACGTCGTGGTGCCCCTCCGTTGCGGTGCTCAGTGTCGAGATGCTGGTCACAGTCGTGCTGCTGAAAGACGCGGTGTTCGATGTGCTTGTCGTATTGCTCGTAGGTGAGAGACTCAGGGTGAAAGATCCCCTCGTGCTGCTCAACGTCGTAGAGCTCGATTTCGACGTGATGCGAAGTGTGGAGGTGGCGGTGCTGGACGTGCTGCGCAAAGACGTGATGCTTGCTGCGTCGGTTGTCTCACTCGTTGATTTGAGGCTGCTGGTGCTGGGCCCCGTATTGGTGCGCAACGGCGAGGTGCTTGATCCCGTCGTGCTGCTCAGTCGCGAAGTGCGGGCCTCCAGCGTGCTGCTCAAAGACGTGGTGGTCGTTGCACTGCTCGTCTTGCTCGTGACTGTGAGGCTGCTTGTGCTGGATCCCGCCGTGCTGCTCAACGTTGTGGCGTTTAATCCCGTTGCGTTGCTCAGTGTCGCGGTGTTGGTCGCAGTCGTGCTGCTTAAAAGACGCGGCGTTCGGTGTACTGCGCGTCTTACTCGTAGGTGTGAGGCTGCTGAGGCTGGGCCCCGCCGTGCTTCTCAACGTCGTGGCGCTGGACTGCGTCGCCCTGCGCGGCGTCGCGGAGCTGGCCCCGGGCGCGCTGCTCGGGTTCGTGATGCTCGTTGCGCTGCGCGTCGCGCTCGTGGATGTGAGGCTGCTGGTTCTGGCGCTCGTCTTCGTGCGCAGCGTCGTGATGCTAGATTTTTTGTATTGCTCAGCGTCGATGTGCTGGGTCCTGACGTGCTTCTCGAAGACGTGGTGCTGGTTGCACTGCTCGTCTCGCTCGGGGATGTGAGGCTGCCAGTGCTGGGTCCCGTCGCACTGACCGACGTCGTAGTCGAGGTGCTGGTCGCAGACTTGCTGCTGATAGATGTATTGATCGATGCGCTGCTCGTCTCATACGTAGGTGTGAGGTTGCTGGGGCTGGATTCCGTCGTGCTGCTCATCGTGGTTGTGCCCGAATTGGTCGTCCTGCGCGGTGTTGTGGAGCGGGGCTCGGGCGTGCTGCTCAGAGACGTGGTGCTCGTTGCGCGTCGCGGTCGTAGATGTGAGGCCGTTTGTGCTGCATCTGGTCTTCGTGCTCAGCGTCGTGGTGCTTGACCCCTTCGTGCTGCTGGGCATCGAGGTGCCGGCCCCTGGCGTGCTGCTCGACGACGTGGTGCCTGTCGCACTTCTCGTCTCGTTCGTTCGTAAATCTGAGGCTGATGATGCTGGTCCCCGTCGTGCTGCTCAAGCACGTGGTGCCCAACTCCGTCGCGATGCTCAGCGTCGAGGTGCTGGTGGCAGACGTGCTGCTGGACGACGTGGTGTTCAATGCGCTGTTGCTTTCACTCCTAGGCTTGGGGCTGCTTGTGCTGGATCCCGCCGTGCTGCTCGACCTCGTAGTGCTCGCTGTTGTCGTGCTGCGCGGTGTTGCGATGGTCCCGCGCGTGCTGCTCGAAGGCGGTGTTCGCGTTGCACTGCTTGTCTCTCTCGTCGATGTCAGGCTGCTGATGCTGGGGCCCGCGTGCGCGCCGTAGTGATGCTGGGGCCAGCCGTGCTGCTCAGCGTCGAGGAGCTCGTCCCTGACATGCTGCTGAAATACGTGGTTATCGTTGCACTGCTTGTCTCGCTCGTGAGCCTGAGACCGTTTATGCTGTGTCCCGTCGTTCTGCTCATCGTCGCGGTGCCCGACTCCGTCGCGTTGCTCAGTGTCGCGGTGTTGGTGGCAGACGTGCTGCTGGAAGACGTGGTGTTCGGTGCGCTGCTCGTCTCACTCGTAGGTGTGTGGCTACCGATGCTGCGTCGTGTCTTTCTGCGCATCGTTGTGGTGCTCGACTCCGTCGTGCTGCGCGGTGTCGGCGAGCCGGTCCCTGACGTGCTGCTCAAAGACGTGATGCTCGTTGCGCTGCTCGTCTCCTTTGTAGATGTGAGGCTGCTGGTGCTGGATCCCATCATGTTGCTCAACGCGTTGGTGCTCGTCTCCGTCCGGTGTTGCTCGGCGAGCTGCTCGTGGGCGCGGTGCTCAGGTTGTTGATGCAGGATCAGGTATTGCTGGGTGTGCTGCTCGCCTCGCTGGTAGGTGTCAGGTTGTTGATGCAAGATCCCGTCGCGCTGCTCAACGTCGTGGTGCTCAACGTCACCATGCTGCTCAGTGTCGGCGAGCTTGTCATGTAAGTGCAGCGCGAAGTCTGGGTGCTCGCTGCGCTGCTCGTCGCAGTCATGGGTGCGAGGCTGCTGGCGCCCATGCCCGCAAGGCCTGGTGGGCTGGCCGCGACCGTGAGGGCAAGGTGGATGCGGCGTGCGCTCGCCTTGGTCAGGCTTTCAAGCGGCGCGTTGGAGTGGGGCGCTGCGGAGCTTGGTCCAGTGGTTGCAGTGAAACGTACGAGCCGACGCAGGCCGAGACCGTCGAGCACCCCGTGACGCCGGTGGATCCCGTCCCCACAGGCATCGCCCCCGCTGGTTGTCGTGTCGTCGGTGTCCTTTGTTTTTTTCTCGGTCAGGAGCTTGTGAGGGGTCGCGCCGATGGCGCCATGTCGGCCTCGTCAACGTCGTCCTCTGGGATGCCGGGAAGAGGTTGGCCAGCGGTTGGTTGTGGTCCGCGTCGGTGTGCATGTCGAACAGCGCCCGAGCGGGGCTCCCGAAGGCGCTCTAGCTGCCGCGGGCGAAGCCCCGCGGTCAGCGGGGGCCCTGTCGGTGCCGCAGTCACTTGGTGCGACGGCTGACTGGCCTTGGCGATGCGACCTCAGACCCCCGCACGGGCTTCCTTGTGCGCGGGAGGGCCTGGTGGCTCAGCCGTAGACCCCACGGTCAACGGGGCTGGCGTTTCTGTTGGCCTGGGCGCTGACGTCGGCGCAGTGTTGCCCCCCCGCCCGCTTGGCCTCCTTGGTGGGGCTCTTCTGGAGGGGGGAATCACACTTGGAGTCGGCAGGAATTCAGTGTTGCCGCTGGTGGGCAGAACCGCCCGGTGCTGGTTCTGATCTCCCGCCTGGCCGATGACAGTGCCGCGCGGGCCTGCTGAGAGTTTTCCACTTGGGTGATGAGCGTTGCCCGGGCGCCTGCCTGCGTTCAAGCGATCGCAGACGTGGATCGAGGGGGCGGCGTGTAGTGGCGGGTCGCGCTTCCAGGGGAAATGGCAGATATTCGCCGCCGAGCGAGGCGGCGCCGGCCGCGCTTTGGGGGGGCGTCTCCCCCGATCCATGGATCTGGCGACCGCGCGCCAAATCCACGGGTCGCTTACCCATGTTTGCGCGCCCCCGAGCGCAGGCTTGTTGTGGGTGTTTGGTTTCGGTGACGAGCGTTGCCTGGGTGCCCTCCTGGATTGCCGGGGGCGCGGGTGGCGCGGCGATGGTGGGCTTGTTTTCCGCCGCCGCCGTGCGTAGGAGGGGGGGGGGGTCCGCCTCCTCCTCCTGCTCCTCCTGCTCCTCCTGCTCCTCCTCCCCCTTCCCCCCTCCAACTTATGGTGGTGGTGGGCGGAGGCCCGTCGGGCGAGGCCTGTGATGTCGGGCAGCCCGTCGGCCCTGGCGGGCCCGGGCTCGGTCCTCGGGGGGGGCCGCCGGGCCCCGGAGCCCCCGGGGCTTGGCGTTCGGCCGGCCAATCCAGCCTTAAGTCTTTTTTTTTGAATTTGTTCTGGGGGATATGTTTAAGTTTTTTCCGTAGCCATTTTGGCTCAAGTCCGTAGCGGTGGCTCAGGGTCCTGCAGCGCGGACGAGAGTATTGTGGCAAGGGGGCGTCCCAGAGACGCACGCGGCCCCAACAGCTCATATCTGTGTATTGTATTGGGGCTAGCCCCAAGATTTTGGCACAGTTACGGCGCGCAGATGGTTGTGCAGCGCAATGCGCCGTGGCACAATAAGTTTCTCTACAACCCTTGGATCAAGGCCAATGGGAAAGGAAAAGGACGGATCGATGAGGAAGACCTGTGGCACGGTTACCCACCTTTGCCGAGTGGACAGCAGACCTTCCAGCCCAGCAGCGGTACGTCCAGGTCGGGCTGGTGGGGAAACCGTAAGGGACGGCCCATGGTGGAGTGCAGCAGTTGCGGCAGGAAGCTCTTCCAGGACCGTCTCAAGTCGAAGAATTGGACGTGTGTGTGTGGTGGTCAGTTCTCTGATGAAGATATTGTCTCTCCTCATCCTGGTTGGTCTCGTGGCGGTGGTGGGCAGCAGCAGGCCCAAAGCGAATCTCCAGCAGCACAGCTCCGCCGACTGGCCGCACTTCTGCCAGAACGGGTCCGAGGGGCGGCTCAGGGGATCTTGCAAGAGCTGGAGGCGCCCGCCCCCAAGCCACCGCTGCAGCCAGGACAGGGACTGCAGCAGGCCACAGCCCGCGTCAACAGAGCCAGGAGGCAGTTGGACAAGGTCAAGGCTGCGTGGATCCGCCACAAAAGGGACTTGGAGAAGAGCGAGAAGGATCTCAAAGAGGCCACAGAGGAAGTACACCGAGCTGAGCGAGAGGAGATTGCGGCAGCCAAGCAGTTCCTCCCTCAGCTCCCGACGAAGGCGGCGGCCACAGTCGACGTGCAGCAGGTCCTGGACGGCAAACTGGACCTGGAGATCAACTTCGAGTCATTGTCAGGTCTCGAGGTGCAGGAGGAAGACCTCAAGGTGCTGGACGAGGCCAAGCAGCAGCTGCAGAAGGCACTGTCCGAGGCGGTCCAGGCGTCGTACGGGGCCCTGCAGGCGAGGATCGACGAGCACAAGGCGCGTCTCGCAGACGTCGTGGAGCGGGCGCGGAAGAAGCGGAAGGCGCCAGAGGCTCCAGCGGAAGCTGAAGCAGCTGGCTCAGGAGGTGGGGCACCAGCATCAGCGCCGTCTCCCCCAGGCCCTGACCCAGGAGATGGCCAGAGGCCGCCTCCCCAGCCCGCGGCCGCTGGAGGAAGCGGCAGCCTGGACCCACAGCAGGCCCGCCTCGAGCGCGAGGTGGAGGCCTTGGTGGGGGGCTACAAGGCAAGCGCGGGTCAGGGAGGGGGGACGTGTTCCTGATGTTGGGGCCAGTGACGTGAAGAGTTTGTACATGCGCAATCTCTCTGGATGGGGATGCCCGACCAAGGGGCTGCTGAAGGAGAGGGCTCACGATATTCTCATTTTTCCAGAGCTTCATCGCCTGCCAGAAGAGTGCCAGGAGGTCCTGCATGAGTGGGATAGAGCTGGTTACCAAGCATTGGTTGCCCCATCGTACCAAGCTCAAGGAGTGAAGCGAGCAGCAGGTATCTCGGCAGGAGTCTTGAAGCGGTACCAGTTCCAGACGTTTCGCCATCTGGCCAACAAGCAGGACCAGCAGCTGGGACTCAGGATGTTAGACGAGCCAGATTTCACCAAGCAACAGGGGATAGACTTCAAGGACCTGGTAGCGTTCCAGCTGAAGATAGGTGGCCAGGCCGTCACGATCATCGGAGTGTATCTCACCGCTGGCATAGGTTTGACTGGCACCAACATAGACAAGCTCATCCAGATGGGCCAGCTGATACAATGCTTGCGCACGCCTTGGCTGGCCATAGGAGACTTCAATGCAGAGCCGCAGGAGTTAGTCAAGGTGGGCTGGCCCAAGCTTGTCGATGGCATCATTCGCACAGCTGATGGAGCAGATTATACGTGTACCTTGGGAAAGAAGAGATTGATAGATTTCATGGTGTTATCGGAGTCAATGGTAAGGTTCGTTGATAGTTTCAAGGTGGACGACACGGCATGTTTCGAAGGAGGTAAGGCACACTTTGGTCTGCATCTCAGTCTAAGGCTGAAACTCGATCAAGCTTGGAGGTGGGTGCTTCAGTTACCAGAACGATTTGTCTATCCGTCTGTGCCCAAGAAGCAGAAGGACCCCACCAGCAAGCGCTCGAGGAAGCTGAAGTTGAAGCAGGCAGAGACAGCACAGCCGGAGGTTCCAGCACCACCTGTTCCACTACGACGCAAAGTGATTGGATTCAAGATGCCGCCACCTGTCGTCTACCTCACTAATGATGACTGGGGAATTGAGTTTGACGAAGCTTGTGATGAGCAACCAGATGAGCCAGATGAAGAGCACCAGGAACCAGGAGAGCCTGAGGCCGACGAGGAGTTAGAGGGGGTAGCCGCTGCGAATCCTGGGCAGACCAGAGGTTCAGAAGACACCATGACGCAGGACGCGGAGGGTCACCCCCTGCTCACGATCGGTCAGGAACAGCAAAACCACCTGTGGGAGGCTCTCCAGCATCCAGTGGACCCCGCGAAGGTGCCCAGCTACGTAAGGGACTCGTTCGCATACAACTTGGACGTGGACGCGGCCATGCATGTAGGAGCAGCCTTCGCAGGTTGGGTTGCACGCTTCGAGGGTTTTTTCTGTGCCATGCTAGATGTGCATCCGAAAGATCAGCAGAGATTTAAGGGCCGTGCGGTTTTAAAGGAATTGCAGAAGCGACCTGAGGCCCAGGGAGCCCATTTCGTGTCGTCTCGGGATCCTGTGGCCCATTGGTGGGCCACGGTTAGTTTTCTGCTCTCTGATCTGGTGGGTTCCCTGGGCGACCGAACCAAGCACAGGCCGAGTAGGCTCTTTGACAGACTCAGGGATATGGCAGCATCAACGCCTGTTTCTGCCGCGCTGCCTCTCCCTGCTAGAACTCGCGCTGAATGGGTCCGTGGCCTTCGTGTTCTCAGAGAAGCTTCGGACCAGACGATCAGAGATTTCGAAGTTAGAGCCAAGCAGAATTCGGTGCGAGCGCAGAGAGCTGTTTTGAATAATACCCTAACCTATTTCCACCAGTGGGTTATGCAGCAGGACCAGGCTGGAGGTCGAGGTCTGTATAACCGTATAAGGGATAAGTCGGTGTTTGTGGGGGAGGTTAGGGCTCGGGGGGTGACGGCTCTGGACTCTTGTCAGAGGATGGCCGTGAAGGCCGACATATGGTCGCGCAAGTGGGCAGGAGACAGCTTGAGTTTTCCCAGGGTCCGAGCTCTTTGGCAGAAGGCCCAGGCCAGGGCCAAGCAGAACCCGCGGCCCCCGCTTGGAGCCGACTGGCTCCGTAGGGTCATCTCGGCCCTGCCTGAAAAAGCGCCTGGTGTTGATAGGCTGTCCAAGAAAGATTTCCAGTGGTTGCCGCCGCTGGGTCTGCAGCAGCTGGCGGATTTCTATAACCTAGTGGAGCAAAGGGTCAGCTGGCCTTGGCAGGCGCTAGTTGTTTTAGTCACGCTCCAGGTCAAAGACGTGGATTCCGACCGTGCGATTGGCCTGCTTGCTTGGATTGTCCGCTTCTGGGGGCGTTTGCGTACCTCGGACCGAGCTGGTTGGACCAAGGAGCGAGCAGGACCGTGGGACACGGCCCTGGCAGGAAACTCAGCCCTGCAGGCCGCGCTGCTCAGATTGTTCAGGGATGAGCAGGCTGCTCACTCTAGTCTGCCAGACCACCAGAGCGCGAGTCTGCTCTGGGATGTTAAAGGTTTCTATGACAGCCTCC